CACCATGCCATGCCAAGGACTGATGACAAGGGTGGCTCTACTTGACATATAGTCCTTTAGTAGGAATTTTTGATAATTTAAGAATTAAAAAAAAATTTTTTTTTTAACCACAATATCTTAAGCCTTGAATGTAAATTTTAACATTTTCTTTTACAGCAAAATCTTAAAAATTTGAAAAGTCTTGACTTGTTTAACTGTGAGATCACAAACCTAGAAGATTATAGAGAAAGTATTTTTGAACTGCTGCAGCAAATTACATACTTAGATGGATTTGATCAGGAGGATAACGAAGCACCTGAAGCGTCTGACGAGGATGATGATGAGGGTAATCATTCTTAATACTCATGAATATGTCATAATTATAGCCTCTGCCCTAGCCATGCAAATTAGATTAGACTTGGAGGTTTAGATATGAAAAAATAAATGAGGCAAAAAGACAAGCATTTAAAACCCCTATTCCTTGTCCTGTCCTAGTATTTCTTCTTTCAGACTTCTGAGGGTATAAGGAACTTAATACTTATTATAATATCAAGCACTATGATTTTTTACAGTCATACACACTAAAGGGGGAGACTTAAGAACTTTATAGCATTATTCTTAATAGTGAAAAGTAGAAACAACTCAAATTTTCTCTATCTGCTGAATGGATAAACAGATGGCAATATCTCCATGTAATGGAATATTACACGAGATATTATTCAACAATTAAAAAGAATAAAGATATTTGGGCATCGTGAATAAATTTTGAAAATAACATGCCAGATTCAAAAGGACACATATTGTAACATTTATCACATGTTGAAAAGGGAGAACTCATAGAAACAGGAAGATGCGCAGTTGCCAGACTGTTAATGGTGTTGAGAAATGTTCTGGAGTTAGATAATCAGGATATATTTTTTGATAAAAAGGTGATTTGACAAAGAGAATTTAAATTTAGTAATAGGCTACTGCTTGTTAATATGGGCTGGAATTCTTTTCACTGTCCAAAATTTGATGGGTAAACAATATATAGAATGATGGGCAAGTTGAGTTTTAAGTGTAAAGTAAAATTGATTGTAGTACATAATGTTTTTATGAAAATCTGTACATTGGAAAAATACCAATATTTAGAAACCATACTTCTCAGCTAGTAAATATGAATGTTGTAAAAGGGAAATCTTCAAAGAAAATTATTGTTCCACTTACTGGCTTAAGAGTTTGCAGTGACTGCGTCAGGGTAAAAAGAATTAACATACTAGCAAGAAACATTTGCCCAACTGTTTGCCCCTATTTTGAAATATGTTTAAAGATGGAGATGAAGATGATGAAGACGAAGATGAAGATGAGGCTGGTCCACCTGAAGGCTATGAGGAAGAGGAGGAAGATGACGAAGAGGATGAGGAGGATGAGGATGCAGGCTCAGACTTGGGAGAGGGAGAAGAGGAAGTGGGCCTCTCATACTTAATGAAAGAAGAAATCCAGGTGAATAGACATTTTTCATTTATACTGAAAAGTAATTATTCAGGCATATGGCCTGAAAGTTGTATATAAAAGTAAGTTGTATGGAAATCTGAATTACTGCATGCATGTGTCTGTCTGCTTCTCTTCTGCCTGCCCTCCATGGTTCCTTGCCTCACACTATAGCCAAATAATCATAAATACCTATTGTTTTATTTCCTTAATATTAAAAACAAAATCCATTCTGCCCTCAGTTGCTTAGTGTGATGGAACAGTTTTGCAAATTTTTGTGAGCCTCAGTTTCTATAGTTATGAAATTGAGCTTATATTACCAAGATTGTTGTAAAGATTTAATAATTTACATTCAATTTAAATATATGTAAAGCATATCAAGAAAGCATAAGTTTTCTTTCCTTGAACGATCTCTTATTTTTCTGAAGTGCTTTCTAACTGGCCCATCTGAATACAGGGTTCACCCCATGGGTATACCCTTTGCAGTGCTGCCTGAGTGACCATATCACTAGCCAGCTTGAAGCACTAATTGTCCCATTTGCCAGGATCTTTGGCTGGGCATATAAGACCTTTCATATGTGCCTGCTCTCTGCTTCCTCCTCTAGCCTCATCTCTCTCACCACCAAGTTAAATTCTTGCCTGTGGCACCAAACTGTTTCTTACCTTTTTGTTTTTAATTCTATCAAATTCTTTTCCACTCATTCTGATGAACCTTTTTTCCTTTTTTATTGAGGTAAACATAATTATAGCAAAACCTAAAATGCACTAATTTTATATACAATTTCATTAGTTTTCATATATGTATTTACTTATAAAACCACTGTCCAATCACACCTAGTACACTCTTTAGCTTAAAAACCAAAAACACCCTAACTCCAGAGTTGCCTCATTATTCAAGCTTCTGTGGTTTCCCACTGGCCAGCATTTCCCTCCTCAGTTTCCTTTGAAGCAGTTGCCTGAAGGCATTTGTTTATTGGGTGGCCTCCTATGAAGTGGTGAGCTCCTGAAGGCTGAGAGCCATTTGTCCTTGTATCTTAGCATCTAGTACATTGACTGGCACATAGTAGGCTCACAGGACGTGTCAGTTGATTTGGACAAGTGTGTCCTAAGGTTAGTGAGTTGTAGAATTCAGTACTTTTATAAATAATATATCTTCTTTAGATTAGAAATGATTAGTATTCTAATTAGTAATCTATTACAAGAAATTCTATTTCTTTTTTTTTAATTAAATACTTGTATTGGGGGCTCTTACATCTCTCAACACAATCCATCCATTCATCCAGTGTGTCAAGCACATTTGCACATATGCCGCCATCATTTTCAAAGCATTCTTTTCCCGCTTAAGCCCTTGATGTCATCTCCCTATTTCTTTCCCTGCCTTCCATCATGAACCCTTAATAAGTTATAGATTATTATTTTCATATCTGACATCGTCCTCCATCGCCTCTCACCCACTTTTCCATTGTTAGAGGTTGATGCTTGTTATCGATTTCCCTTTTCAACCCCCACCCTCCCCTAATCCTCCTGGTATCTCTAGAAATTGTATTTCACTGGCCATTTTTTGTATTTTTATTTCTATTTCTTTTTTCTTTTTTTAATTTCTATTTCAGCTGCAAGAATAGAACAGTATTTTATTAAAATGAGGGGGTGGGCCGGTCAAGTTAGGGACAGTGGAATTCTTGTAGTACTCCAGGCCCTGGGGCACAAGTTGTTGGCACTAGGTTGCTAAGGAATAGGCAATGCCACAAGGAAAGGCCTAGCATGTGCTTTCATAGCGGTCACAGCCAAGAACACCCACTCAAGCAGGCTACTCACTACGAGATGAGGCTGCTGTGGGTCCAGTTTGACTCAACAGCATCAGTTTTGTAATACTCAGAGCATAAATGAGGAAACGTTTTATTTCCTGCTAATAAGGAAAAGACTCTAGTCTTGGCCAAACACTCTAGTGGCACCTGAGTTCTTGACAGTCACCAGTGGGTTAATGCATTTTTGGGAAGCAGTGTACTTTTGTGGGGCTGGAGACTAGATTGGTTTATTTAAAAAAAACAAAACAAATCTGGAACTCAGCCATTTAGAACATAGCCAAGACAAGCTAGTAATTGGAGAAGCCAAAATATAAGTTATAAAAGGCCTTTTATTTATAGGAGTGTCCAAGCTGTTATTCTGAACCTGTTATCTCTTTTATATTCAATTATCTGATAGGCTTATTGATCTGTTTTCTGATTCCATAATAGATTCTTAGGGAATCAACCTGGTACAAAGTTTATGATTACATGGTGAGACTGGTTATTCAAAGAAAAGGTCAACATAAATCAGATGAGTATGCAGTATATTTTAGATATTTCTATCCTATTTGACTACTTTTTTGTTTTGTTTTAAGTTGTGTTGAAAGGCTTTATTTAAATATTACTTTTCCAGAACAACTCATCCCATAAGTTAAAGGTCAAGTTGAACTGTACTTTTTATTAACTTTTGCTTTTTAAATGTGGAAGGAATATAACATCTTTTTAGACTAATATTTTCCTTTTACTGATTGGAAATGAGGCCCAGGGAATAAATATATTTAATAGATAACTAAGTTAGTGCTAGGACTCAGGTAATTCTCCTAAAATCTATAGAACGCAGGCCCTGTGTCTGAAGCCTGTAAAGTTGCTCTGATCAGTATGATAGCCACTAGCCACACGTAACTCAAAGTGAACGAACAAAAATAAAAATTCCCTTCATGTGCATTGGTCATGTTTCAAATGCTCAGCCACAAGTGGCTGGTAGTCAAATGAGGGGTGGCACAGATATAGAACATTTTGGACAGTACTGATTTAAAAGATAACTTATAAAACTAGGGCTTGGTTAGGGTTTTCGAAAGGACTTACATTATATAGGCAGAGATCATCAGAGCACAGAATAGCAGTGAGTTAATCAGTGAAAAATCTACGTCATGACCTGTTTATTCTCTAAATATTTTAATTACAAGGATGAAGAAGATGATGATGACTATGTTGAAGAAGGAGAGGAAGAGGAAGAAGAGGGTGAGTTAGTCATGAAAAATTTTTAAATTAAAGTCATGGATTTTATTACTGATCGCTTATAACTTAATTTGGTGTTTTTCATATGCTTTGAAAGGTATAAACTTTTTTAAAGAATAATTTTCTCAGGTAATTTATGAATTTCATTTCAAAAATTAAACTGCTTTACATTTAATTTTAAAACAAAAAAGAATGGACCCTTGAGTTCAATTCATTATTATTTTGTAATGTTCCATTTTGGAAAATGTGAAACCCTACCTGTAAGAGAAGAGCACAGAGCTCTGAAAACCCAGATAACGCCCTTGTTAGATTTATCCTCTGGCTCTCTTTTAAAATAGTTTTTAAAATAGTTTTCATTAACATTTCTGTTGTGTCGAGCTTAGTTTCTCATCTGTACTTCGTAATTTGACCACCAGAGTGCATAGCAAGCTGTCAGTATTAAGGATCTCTAAATCTATTCAGTCTCTTGAAACAAATAAATTTGGATAGTAAACTTCATTGCCTATGCCACACTTTTAAGTATGCTGCTATCTTTTCACTAAGAGAATCAAAACTTTGTAACTTAATGCATATTCATTTGTTAAAATTTAGCGTTTTATAATTTTCTGGCCACTCTTTCAGAAGAAGAAGGCCTTCGAGGAGAGAAGAGAAAACGAGATGTTGAAGATGATGGAGAAGAAGAAGAAGACTAGATCACTCTAAGAGCAGATTTCCGAGTAGTCTTCCGGTTTGCGATAGAGTGATCTCGTCTGTTTCTTCTTGTACCATAGGTATCCACTGAAAACAACATGTAACTTTTTATAGGAAAAGTGTGGTTTTACTATTTTTGCCTTTTTATCATTCCAAATAAGATTTATTAGTTTGTTAATGATCATATTGTATGTAGAGGAAATTTTTCACTGGCACCTCCCTTCCCGCTATTCTGAAACTTCCCGCTATTCTGAAAAAAATTTATTTGGAATCTTGTTTTCTCATTCATGCTCTCTGCATCAGTCATGCTTAGCCCATAATTAAAACATGACAGCTTTCACACAGGACTAGTATAGTGCATTTCATTCATAGGTTTTAACGTTATTTATAAACTAACTGAAGTCAGTCAACTGTAAGATGAAATGACAGTAAGTCTTCTTGAACATGAGTTGGTTATTTTTTAGCTACATCTCAGAGTTCTTTAGTATGAAGGCAGTGGCTTTTCTTTCTATGATATTTGAAGTGCTGCTTTGCTGTAAGAGTTGCTTGGAAAGTAGAAGCAGAATAAACAGTAAGGCCCTATCCAGCAATAGACTTTCATGGGTTTTATGGAGGCTTTTGGACCCTCTTTTAAGCTGGGTGGCTGGTAAGATGTTATTTTTGAAGGGAAATTTGCTTCTACTAATTGAGACATGCAGGTGAGCCCTTCTTCAGGCTGCAGACCATGACGTCACAGGGGTCATTTGTTTCTAGGTGTGCGTTTTTTCCTCTCAGCAATCTCCTTAGGATCACCTGGCTTGTTTTCACTTTTTCCTTGTATCTCAAAAAAATTAAGTTGTGAAACTTGTGGCTATCCAGGAAAACCTTTAGTCTTATACCTCAACTACCTTTTTAGACCTACGTTTTAAACAAGCTAAAGTAATTGTGTTTTCTCTCAGATACCAATATTATCCTAATAGCTCTATGCAACAGGCTCTGCTTACTATAGCTCTCTTTTGGTTGACAACATGCACAGACTCTTACATGAAGAAGAACAGAAAGCAAGGGAGGCTATGGGAAGCCACACATCAGTACTTTTCAAGCCAGAACGGCTGCCAGTTGATAATTAATGAGATGGTCAAGTCAATATTTTTAAGTTGGCTTCCAAAATGGTTTGGATATTGTCTTATAAAATATAGCTTTCCTGAGGAGAACTTTTATTCCTCCTGTACTTATAAAGAATATTACAGCATTTAATTGGGATATGTTAGGCAGCTGGCATATTTTTGAAATGTAAATTTAAATTAAGTTTTGTTTTCAAATAGATGGCCATTAAAAAAAGGAAAAACATCTGGGATAAGTGTGAATGTACCTAAGGTGGGTTTCCTTATATGGCTGCTAAAAAATATGAGATGAATATATCTCCATTTTTGCCTATTTTCAAATTTTGGCTATCTGAATGATTTCCCTTTTGGATATTTGTAAAAAAAATAAATAAAAGTTAATATCAGCAAATTAGTTGAAGTTACACTTTCAGATTGGGACTTGGGACTTTTTAAATTTAAATGTGAGTTTTAAAGTAAATATGAAGTTATTTGTAGAGAAACTAAAAAGTTGCACACTTGACAAAGGAAATTCTTAGGATCAATCTTGGAGGGATTGGAATCTCCAAAAGACTAAAACATTTGACCTCTTTTTCAACAATTGACATGCCTTGTTTTAGTCCCTAAGAATTCCCATCACATAGTATGTCAGACTATAAAATTATTTTTAAAATTAAATCTATATTTGACTTTCTTATCAATCATCTTATTGTGCAATCAGAAATAGAGTTCTTTGGTTTGAAAACAACGTTTAGAGCCTCCAGATAACTTTTAGAACTTATTTAGCTTTGTGGGTGATATTTTCATGCAAATAAGTAAGGGTGGGTTTTATATTTTGTAGAGGTTTTTGGTCCTATTTTAATGCTCTTTCTATGGCAGTGTGTATATAGTGTGTTAAGTTCCTCAAGAATCTCTCCTTTAAAAACTTTGAAGTTAATACTTTTGTGTAACTGTGTTTTGAATAAAGCCATGACAGTGTTAAAAAAACAACAAACAAAATATGCAGTACTCCCGATCATTCTCTTATTGTTTCTGACTGTTCCCTGATTTTTCTGTGACTGCTGTAACTTAAAAGTTTTTGAAACAATTGCTTCAAATAAATTGAAGATTTGTTATAATGACTAGTTTGGTGTATGACATTCACTTTTTCAACACCATTGTGGGCTTTGATGGTCTTAAAAATGGAATTTTCTTGGAAATTAACTCAGTGCTTGCATGTGGTAGGGATTACAGTTTGTCATCTTAGTTAACTTTTTTCTAAGAAGCAGAAAAAAATTCTGATTCACTCAACGTTACTTCTGGAGTTGCAAATCGAGACAGTAGTTTTTGTATTTTGATTTGAAGTAATAACAATTACTTTAACCAGTTACCTGAGAACATTAGTGGTTCAATTCTTGTCTTCCATGTGGGAGAACCAGCTTCAGTCCCCCCCCAGTGTTCCTCGTGCACAGCCACCACCTGTCTGAGGAAGTTTGTATCGTGCTACATGATGCTGCATAGATTTCAGTGGAGCTGTGACAAAACATGTTAATTTAAAACTCCACATACATGGAAGATTTAATTGGGCACTGTTGATTTCATTTATTGAGATGGGCTGCTAATGTTTCTATAAAAGCTCTATAAAAACTATGTTATTTAAAAGTTAAAAATCCAGATTCCTCCTCACTCAAATGTATATTGTGGTTTGAGTGGCTTAAAAAAAAAAGTAAAAGTTAAATTAAAATGAACTTGGAGATTTTTCAGGTGACAAGGTCATCTGAAAAAAACACAAAAAAACCAAAAAACTCTGGAGCTTCCAGACTGACTAGGAAAAAGGTATGGCTATTTACTTTCAAAAATCAGCCAAAGAAAACCCAAACCCTAATGATCAGCTCCTCATTTTTTTCCCTCCCTCCTTCATGAACCCTTGATAATTTATAAATTTTTTCATGTCTGACACTGACCGATGTCTCCCTTCACCCACTTTTCTGTTGTCTGTCCCCCTGGGAGGGGGTTAGATGTAGAGCACTGATCTCCCCCAACCTTCCTCTTCCCCTCCTGGTATCGCTACTCCTTATTGGTCCTGAAAGGTTTATCTGTCCTGGGTTCCCTGTGTTTCCAGCTCTTATCTGCACCAGTGTACATGCTCTGGTCTAGCTGGATTTGTAAGGTAGAATTGGGGTCATGATAGTGGGAGGGTGGAAACATTCAAAAACTAGAAGAAAGTTGTATGTTTCATTGGTGCTATATACTGCACCCTGACTGGCTCATCTCTTCCTTGTGACCCTTCTCTAAGGGGGTGTCCAATTGTCTACAGATGGGCTTTGGGTCTCTACTCCACACTCCCCCTCATTTACATTGATATGATTTGTTTGTTCTGGGTCTTTGATACTTTTGACCTATTTTAAATTTGTTCTACTTTTTAATATTTTCTGCTTTGTTTTCAATTGAGGTTTTTTTTTTCTATTTTACTTTGTTGTTAGCTTTTTTATTACCTTGATTTTATATGTTTTCCAGTATATGGGTGAATCTATAGACAGTAACTAGATTAATGGTTTCTTAGGAGGTTATGTCAGGGGAGGCTGAGGGGAAATAGCTAATAATGAGTCCAAGAATGGAGAAAATGTCCTAAAATTGATTGTAGGAATGATTGTACAACTCTTCTTTATGACTGGACTGTTGAATTGTATGATCTATGATTATGTCCCAATAAAAATTTTTGTTAATGTTAATAACAGTTAACAATTAAAGTGATCATAAAACTTGTACTCTATTTAATTTAAAAAACAATACAGGGTTTCCACTTGTAATCCGTTTAAAGAAACTCTGGTGATGTAGTGGGTTGTTAACTGCAAGATCAGTGGTTCAAACCCACCAGCTGCTCTGTGGGAGAAAGAACAGGCTGTCTGTTCTCATGAAGATTTACAGCCTTGGAAACACTACATAGGGTCACTGAATTAACTTGATGGCAGTTGGTTACTTTGGTAATGCTGTTTACCTTGAGAATTTTTTGATAATATACATGCCATCGCTGGATTACAAACCGTTTCTGTTCCTAAATCTTTTCATTGAATTTACATAGAGGTCAGAAACTGCTTGTATCTAACATCAGTAGAAAAATAAATATATTTATGTATATAGTGTATGCTTTTTCTATGCATAAGAAACATAGAACACTTCCAGATATATTAAAACACCTTTAACATAATACCAGAATAGTGTTTGGTTTTTCTTTTTTAGTAATAATGTTTTGATGTGTGTTGCAAAGTAGATTTTAAAGATTTGGTTCATAACTGCACACAATTTGTAGTTTGAAAATTCTGTAGTTTGAATATTTGTAATCTGTGGATTACCTGCAAGTGCAAATATAGAGTTCTTACATTTTTACCTAAAGTTAACCTGAGGCAGACATGTTTTCTGCTCTTTTGTGACAAGTGCTTTTAAAAATGTTTAGCTTGTTGACAATTCTGGAATAGCTGTTTTGTAAAGCTATTGAGGGCACATGTGATCTTAAGGAATGTTTTTGTGATTGCTTTATGATTTAATATTGAGAAGGTATTTTAATTATAGAACTCTGTTTTCTGAAGTATGGAAGATACTGAAATACATTTCATCCACAAGTATTGGCTATTAAAAATAGTGTGGTCTTTTTGTCTTGGGTCTTTAAAATATTCAAAACTTTTTCTTGGTGAAAGAAAATGATACAAAACAAAATGGTTTGGGTAGAAGTGTTAGGTTATGAAGCAATTCAGTGAAAGATTGTGGTTCAAAGCATTTTAAAGTTATTTATTCCTGGTTCTAACTTTTCAAAAAAGACTTTGGAACATGTGACATTTATTCTTGCAGTTGCTGAAAATTTCCCTTCTGCTGGTTCTAGTAGGGGATGCAGTGATCTTCTGCAGCTGTTGTTTAATTATAGCTTTTCTACTGCTGCCTGTCTTCTTCTGTACTAGGCAGTCTAAGATGTGAAAACCTGGCAGGAGTGCTTTGGCCTGAGGCAGTTACTTGTGTTACAGTCTGTTGAAGGGCCCTAACTTGAAGGAGAACTGGTTACACCACAAAATGAAAATTGTGAAATGAGTTGATGTTCAGGAGTATCTAAAAAATGACTTTACTTACTGGTAAAAGGCTTATCCTTTACATAAATCTAACCACTTTTTTGTGTAGGAAGATCCTGAAGCAGGGCTCCTTACAATAGCCCTCTGATATTAAGTCAGTTCCAGCTCATCAGTGGAACTGCTTCGTAGGGTTTCAGAGGCTGTAGATCTTCATGCCGACTTTGCGGTTGGCAGTCCAGTGCTTAACACATGGGGCTCTTTGCCTATGATAATTAGGAACCCTAATTAAGAATCAGGAACAGGTATGACTTTTTTCAATTTTATGAATATTTGCAAATAAAATTTCTATCATCTTAACAATTTGGTTCCTATAAAATACGCACATTTACATTGTTGTAAATGTTGGTATTTACACAGGCCCTCAAATAGGCACACAAGTTCAAAAAGCCCATTCTAGCTGTTGAAGAAGTGACTGACCATGTAAACACGTCTCTGTTCTCTGATCCTCAGATGTTCAGACGGCATCATCTCGAAGTTGAAGTAAGCCATGGTCTCTGCTCTCAGGCTGACTTTCTCTACAGCCTGAGAAATGCCGTAACCCTTTCATGCAGTTCCTCATGTGGTGGGGACCCCCCCCAACCATAACATTATTTTCGTTGCTACTTCATCACTGTAATTTTGCTACTGTTATGAATTGGGGGACCCCTGTGAAAGGGTCGTTCAACCCCCAAATGGGTCATGACCCACAGGTTGAGAACCACGGCTTTACAGGCCAAGGATTAATTTACAGAAGTTACTAAATTTCTCCAATCATGTCAACCAGGTGGTGTTTTCTTCCAGCATCCACTTCTGGAATCCAGCGACAATGTGCTCAGTGAATGATGTTCAACTTCATGTAGGCAGACCGCCGTTACTGAGGAATTGAGGAATGTTGGGGTCCATAGAGGAACAAAAAATGGGAATTCCACAACAATTAATTCCACTCATGCAGAACCTGTACGTGGGCCGAGGCAGGTATTGGAACAGAACAAGGGAATACTGCTTGATTTCAAATCAGAAAAGATATACACCAGGGCTGTATCCTCTCACCATACTTACTCAATCTGCATGCAGAACAAATCATTTGAGAAACTGAATTCTGAAAAAGAATGTAGTACAGGATTGGAGGAAGGCTGACTAACAACCTAAGATATGTAGATGACACCACCTTGCCCGCTGAAAGTGAGGAGGACTTGAAGCACTTGCAGCAACATCATAGAGAAATCAGAAAGTAATGGAAGGAATCACAGTAGAAGCAATTACACTTAACCAAACTGGCATCTCCAAAGGCAGCAGCACTTACCATGACATTGAAGATCAGCTGGGAGGTCAGTGGAAGGCCAGCGCTTCCAGCTGGGCCCGCCACTTCACTGTTTTCTGAGAATGTCCAGTTAAGAACAAACCCATCTCTATGATGTTAGGGATTTATTATTTGTAGAGAATCGCATCTTTCTGAATAGGATTCTCACTGAGAGGAGTCATATTTTTAGCAAGTCATCCATACTGGAATATATGGAGGGATTAAAAAAGAAAACAAGGAACATGTTTGACATTTTATCCTTTTTCACTATTGTTGGCTGTCTCGCTGTCAACATGCTTGGGCTATCATAGTATGTGAGGAATTTTGCATTTACCTCGTTCCCTTCTTTCAAGGACATCAGCCTTAAGATCACTCACCTCGGAGTCACGTGAAAGCTGGACAATGAACGAGGAAAATCAAAGAAGAATTGTCACAATTCAATTAGGGTGTTGGTGCCCACTATTGTCTATGCCATGACTGGCAGAGGAATGGACAAATCGGTTTGGAAGTACAGCCAGAAGGCCCCTTAGAAGTGAGGCTGTGACACATGTCTCATGTACTTTGAAGCTGCTGTCACAGGGGAAGAGTCCCGAGAGAAAAACATCATGTTTGTAGATACCCACCCAACCCCCCAAGTCAACGACATAAAAACCAACGAAATCACTGCCACCAAGCCTATTCTGGCCCACAGGGATCCTATGGGACAAGGCAGAACTGTCCCTATGGGCTTTCCTGGCTGAACTCTTTA